ATATTAAACCATATGTAAACCTGATTTATCTATTAAACCATTTTATATATTAAACCATGATTTGTCCTCCACCCTGTGCTGAAGTAATTTGATTGTCCCATCTTAAGAGAACTTTCTATTTATTTTTCATTGATTGTGTCATAAATGAATAATGTAGTCTGAATAGTTTTATAAGTTATGATTTATATAATGTTTTCTCATATGAATCATGTTCATCTTGAGTTTTAGAGAAATGAATTATTAATAATTTCAAATAGAACTGCTCTGGGTACACACGTACACTAGTACATATAGTCTTAACACAATCCTGGATAGGAGTACTGTGTCCATTTTACAGATGAGGAAATTGAGTCCCACACTGTTATAAATATGTTACTCATGCTCACCCAGCTAGGAAATGGCAGAGCCAGGATTTTAATGCAATCCATATCCCTCTCGCTAGTCCTCTCATCAAACTTTATTTTAATTTCAAAACCTTTTAATAAAATTACTACATGAAGAGAAAATAGTATGCAAGTACATGTCTCTTCCAATGTTTAATATAAAAAATATGATTAAATATATGCAACAATCACAAATTACTAAAATGATTTTTTTGAGACTCTAACAGTCTAACAATCCTATATAGATAGTTTCATCAGTTTTATTTATACAAGCAAATGTTGTGATAGGTGAATAAAATACCCTACTTTGTTTAAAAAAAGATAAAAGGCAGCTTGAAAGTGAATGGAGGCCAAATAGAGGAAGTAACCTGTCCAGGGCCATGCAGGTAGTCCACTGACTCCTGACCCAGAAGCCCTAATTGCCCTAAAAGGGTTTGTTTAAATCCTGAGTCTTGATTTCAGCCGCCTGTTTAGTACTTCTAATTGCAAAATAAAAATAAAACTACTATCTTAGGAATGCCATATAGTATTTGTCCCTTACCATCTCATATCACAGACTTATTCTTACACTGTAAGATTACTTACTGTAGATACTGTATTCTTACTGTAGATTTAAAATTTACAAGTACATCTCTAACCTTTGCTGTATTATTGTAATAACTTGGATTTGGAGTACTGTGTATTACAATCCAAGTTTTATTGTAGTAACTTGGATTTGGGCACACAGTAGAGGTCTAGGTTTTAGCTACTAGCCCCTGTTGGTCATTTCAGGAAACAGCTCTACATTCTGTATTCTTGTTAGTTGTTATGTGGAAAGTACAAACTTCAATCCTTTATCAGCTTTCTCTGATAGGAATAAAGTCTTTGACTCATTTCTCAGTGCCTCAA